CACTCCTACTGTAACACCAATGATACAGGGTTCCAGAAGTTCCACCCCTCTTCTGCCTGCTGCCCCAAAGGCATGACCTCAGTAACCTTATAGTAAATTCGCCCCTGGTTATATAGAATAGCAATTATGGATGGAGGAGGTATGCAGATCATGGGCACTTTTTCAGATTTTTATACCGGTGCCAGCCTGTGTGTGGAGAGAGGCAGGGATAGGAAGCTATATCTTATCCCTGCTTTTCTCTCCTAACTGAAACCGCAGGGGAGCAGCACAGGAGGTCAGCAACTCCCAGACTGCAGAGACAGCATGCAGATCAGGTAAGTAAGAGATGGTGTTATAGGCAAATGCAAATATCACAAGTTTTAGAATGAAATGTTGTATTTCTTAAACTGTGTACTTTGTTTTTAAGAGATATTACAAACTGACAAGGTGTTAGAAATGGTTTTTCATAGATGTTTCTTTAAGCAATAATCTCAGTGCATATTTTGTTTACACCATTTTGTCCCAGATGAATTACAATAACAATGATGCATAAACAAGCTTCAAGGCTATGCTACGACTCTTTCAGTATGTAATATACTGTGGTAACCTTAGTAGATAAGGATGTTCAGACTTTAAGATGCCATTTTGAACTAAGTCAGGAAAATTTCCATGACATATGCACCCTTTTGTTATGGCCTCGTATGTTTGCCAAATTAAGGGAGATCCTAAAATTAGTGTTACTTTTTCATATATGTACTACGGTAACCCTAAAATGGAGACACCTAAGGTATAAATAGGTGTACTTTTAAATGTTAAGACACAGAGGAGAGACTTGGAGACAGACGCTGCTCCATCTTAAAATGACAGAGAGGCTGACATGATGACATGTTCAGAAGGGTATGTTAACCCATTAATGATATTTGCAAGCATTTAGTTTAATCTTATAAACTCTGCTGTAATGGATTTTATATGTCTATAATTATATTTTTATATAATAAATATCTAAAAAGACAAAACTTTATTGCTTCCAAGACAATCCTTATTTTATATTGTATTCTCAACTATTTATATATGTTAAATAGAGGATCTCTTACACT